TAAATTCATTTCTGGACATTTATGGTTTGATTTCTTTGTATGTATGGATCACTTGGGTTGTTACCAACATCTGGTGAAAATTTCATGTCATTAGCACCTCTAGTAATATATTTACTGAGAAAAATGGTGACGTGTTCAATACTTATTTTACTCGCTGTAGATGTCACCCTCAGAGTATGTGCTGTAAATGACTCTCAGCTACTACTTTAAAGTTAATTCAGTTGACTCTGATTGTGGAAAGACATTTAATGTTAAATTCCTGAGAGTTTTATTAACCTCTTGAGCCCCACGCAAAACAGCTTTTCCCGTCTGTTAAACCTGGACATGTTTGTTATCAATAGAAACATAAGACTCTTGGCAAAAAGCTCATGGAAACTACAGTATATTTACATTCACCAAACACAGTTCAAATGTCAAGCAGTTGAATCAGAACGTAAACAAACTGTACAAAATGGCGTCATTGCAAATCTGTAAATACATTATAACAAATCTGTAGAAGAAAGATTTTTGATATTTTTAATGCACGTCAACTGACGTGGATTTCCACAAATAACATGAGCCATAATTTTACCCAATCAGAGCAGAGTAGAGCAGGTCATTCTTTCTGAGCCCAGGTGAGAGCACCACAGCTCCTCCTGTCCTCACTGAGCAGCAACAACTTCTATGCTGTTCAGTTTTTCATTGAATATACATGATATTAAAACTGTTTATTACTAACATACTGCAGTAGCAGTACGTAATTGCTGTCGCACATGGTTGTGGAATTTGAGGAAATTGGTACTGAAGTCTTTGAAAGGTCCTTGAATTTGATGTTGACCAAAGTGTGGGAATTCTGCCATCCATTACACACATACTTTTCCTCGTGGTACACTGTATTTTATTTTATTTTATTTTATTTTATCTCTCCTCCTAATACCTAGCCCCCCACCTTATCACAAAGCATGTTTTAAAGATTTCATGGAAGTTCTCTGTTACTTGTTTAAACATCAATTGTTCAATTTTGACTTTTACCAAATCATATTCAAATTTCCGAGCAGCACGATGGATCAGTGGTTAGCACCAACACCTCACAGCAAAAAGGTCCTGGGTTTGATCCCCGGTTCGGACCTGGGGTCTTTCTGTGTAGCGTTTGCATGTTCTCCTCGTGCTTGTGTGGGTTTTCTCTGGGTACTCCAGTTTCCCCCGCCCCCAAAAACATGTACAATAGGTTGCCTCCAGTCCGCCCTTGAAAAAGAGACCTGTGATCTCAACGGGAATTGTCTGGCTAAATAACAGTAAATAAATTTTATATATTTCACTTGTGCCCTCCCCCCCCCAAAAAATAAATAAATAAATAAATAAAATCACTCCCAAATTTCCACAGACCAAAAACATGACTGTTAGGTTCATTGATAACTCTAAATTGTCCCTAGGTGTGAGTGAGAGAGTGAATGGTTGTTTGTCTCGTTTGTCTCTATGTGTGGCCCTGTGATGGACTCGCGACCTGTCCAGGGTGTACCCCGCCCCTCGCACTGTGACTGCTGGATATGGGCACCAGTGACCCACGCGACCCTGAAAAGGAAGAAGCGTGTACAGAAAATGGATGGATGGATGGACTCCCAAATTTCCACAGAGTAACCCAAGTGATGAATACAGATGATGATGCAGAGCCACTAACGTCTTCCTTCGCCTTTCAGTGGCAGGTCACACTAAACATAAGGACGCACACGAGGAAAACAAGCTGCTCCGTGTTGTTGTGGCCTTGCCCTCTCATTRTCGATCTCCATTTGAACACTGTACCAGTGTGATTCTGTCTATCATTCTTCAAGTCTTCATTCATCCATGCKACTGCACTCTCATCCTTTTTCCCTTTTGCTATTTCCTTCCTTTTCTCTGCTCCTGAGTTGTTTGATTTGGCAGAGCAAASCGAATCGCACAAGAGACTTAAGCTGGCAAACTCATGTAGCTCCCATTCCACCTGATGCACCCCTGCAGTTCCTCTCTTCCCATCTCTTTTCCTCTTTTATCCAATCCCAGAAAAAAAAAACAAATTATGGAAATGGTCACGTGCRAATGCAAGTGTCAGCTATAACTGTACAACTGAAAGACCAAGCTGTCCAAATCTTTCATACTTTGTTTGAACTGTTCAAATTTTATATTCTCACCCAGCACCCCTCTAACACAATGTGTGGGCCAAGTGCGAGCCGAGCGGCGTTTGCAAAGTCCTTTGTTACCATTGATTTCTTCCCAGCAGACAAACCGAGAAAGCTTGGCATTTTTACACACGTTTATTTGGCAGCAGCACACATTTGATCAACACCTCAGCAAACAGCCCGCTCCCAGTTCCTACGAGAATCTGGCGTTGCACTCGAAATTAGAGCAGTTCATTGAAGGGAGCCACCATATGGCAGCCACGGCTTGCGTAGCTGGTGTTTCTTTGTCGCTAGCCTTAGCACAGCGGAGTATAATGAGAATAGGAGACTGATTGGCTGTGCCCCAACAGCTGTGCCAATCAGTCACCCCTGGCAGATGTCCCTGTACTGCATTGATCCACCTGTGCAGCTGAGCAGAAACCCTCCTCCCRCCACCTCAATATCCAAGCACTCTTACTTTAGAGCACTTTTAAAGGCTTAATGTTCTGCTTCCAGCTGATGTACAGCACAGGTTGGTCAACTATCTGAACCTTCATTTGACACATCAGTTAGCAGGTAAACAGGGAGGGAGGTTTGGGAAGTACTGCAGAGAGGCCAAAAGAGTTCACTCTCTTAAAGTGCCTGTGACATCAAATTTTTGTAATAAACATGAACGCATTTTTGGAAAGAAAACACTGATAACATACTGCAAAACAAATTTCAAGTCGCTGAGATGAACGGTTGTTGAGACGTTTGCATGTGAAGAAACAGGAAGTGATGTCAAAGGGGAATGTCAGAATGTAAACAGAGCGTTGTTACAAAAGCTAACAACACAGACTGTAGACACGAATTTGATGTTTCTGTAGTTTATTTTTAGTCRCTATCAAAGAGAGACGAATACGATTTAAAGTTTAAATAATTTTGTTTTAATAAACAGAAACCAACAAGTTTATTTTATTAATATGTTCCCCTTTGATGTCACTTCCTGTTTTACTTTGGCTAAGCCAAATTCAAAAGAAAATAGGCCAGTTATGTGACAAAATGGGTAAAATCCTGTGTACTATGCCATTTTTCACACATGTAAAGATGGTTTCTTTGACTTTTTGTATTTGAAGGAWAGGCATGTCACTTTAAAGAGGGTGTTGTGTATTTTCCAAACACAGTTCAATCTTATACCACATTACAAGATGTCACGGACTCTTTAAAAACACATGATTTAAAACAAAAATATAAATGGATGAGTGCTATTAATACTCTATCTATGTTACCTTCAGTTATTATGAAAAAGCTGTATAAATCAAAATTTATTTTGACTTTGCAACATAGCCTATCTAAACCCCTTGAAATTGGCCTTCGTCTCTTTAAGAACCTCCTACCATTTCTGACACTCCCACTTCTGCACATCTTCACAACAATGCTTCGGGGAAGGGGTGCTCTGTGGGGCGGGAGCTCAGCTGGAGACTGAGCTGCAGGGAGGAGCTTTGKGTAAATGGGCGGAGCTTTGTACCGGCAAGTGTTTAGACAGCTCCGCATAGGTACAACAGCAGATTCTAGGATTTCTTAAACACGCATGAATGAGTCAAAGCAACACTCTGAGTATGCTYTTGATGAGGGAATGACTTTATAACATGATATAAAGCTCTAAAGAGTGGATTTAGCCTAATTGCCYCCCCCCCCCTGCAATAATAACTGATATACAGGTACCTTTTCAGCTCAGCTCAAACAGAAAACTTGGCAAGTTTTCTAAATTTAACTTGAGGCAAAAGTATCACCATGTTTTTTTCATGTTCCTCTATTTGATTTATTTATTTTTTTGGCTGCAGAAGCTATAGCCCATGCAGTACCCAACATCTACTTTAACTTACATTTATTATGTCGATTAAAAAATTATCTTTTGAGTGTAACTTTAATGTTTGTATGACTTGTTCTTCTTCAAATATATTTTTCAACAGTTCTTTCACCTTCCTTTTCATTTATGAGCAAGAAATAAGCTGGGGGGGAAGGGGTATTTTTTTTAAATTGACTGTACTGACTGTGTTATGGGATCACTGAACCCAAACTGAACATACTGAAGTGCAACACGAAGAACAGTAGCACATCCACATAAAGGGAGAGCATTGTGAAGTCTCTCGAGGCAGCRCTGTTACTCCTACTGATGAAGACTTGTCTGAACAGCGGCCTGAAGAGAGGTGAAGCTAATTCTCTTTTATGAGAACCACAGARTTGCAGGACCCTGGGGCCAAACGCACACTTACAATATACAGCATGAGCACTCACAGACTTGTTTGTAGTTTCCTCTCGGAGTTTAGACTCACATCACGTGATGAGGCAATATATCAAGCGTCTTAATGCAGTTGTGCTCTTTCAAGAGTCTGTTTCTGTTTTTCAAAAGCAGCTCAAGAGATTTCATTGGCTTTTATGAAATTTGACAAATGGATATTGACAATGCAGTTTATTTTATGGGAATAAAGTGCGAAACGTAATATTGTTTCATTCTCTCTGACTGTGATATATTGCCAGCAACCAATATATTTGCTCTTACTGTGTCTCCTTGCGTAGTTACCATCCCATGCCAGAATACATTATTCAAGGCAAAGAAAACAATATTACATTTCTTATTGAAGGGCAGTAGTTCCTCACCTTTTATCCACTCATTAAAACATTCACACAAAGCAAGATGCAGGAGTGGTGGGACTGAGTTTGATCAGTTTAATAAAATAACTTCTTTCTGCAGAAAAGTCAGGATTTTGTTTTATCTCATTTTACTTATGATTTGAGAAAAGTAACGGGCCAAACACTAGTGGGACATTGACGGTGAATAAGGGCTGTTGTCGTCTGTAAAAAAAAAACGTACTTAAAGGTTTGTTTGTGTCTGTGTTTGGTTCTCAGATGGGACCCCCTACACCTGGTGGGTTGGTCGAGGCAGCGAGAAGCATTTCTACTGGGGCGGCTCGGGGCCCGGCATCCAGAAGTGTGCCTGTGGAATCGACAGGAACTGCACAGACCCCAAGTATGATTGCAACTGTGATGCAGATGCTAAACAGTGGTAAGTCAAAGTGAAAAATGATGTGTTTTCACACAYGTTTGTGTCAACGACAGTCATGGCCAACATACAGGAATAAAATATAAAAGTTTAGTTTATTTGCACAATAAAAATGCAGATCAAAGTTCTCAAGAATAACCTTATGGGCTTAATGCATCCATTTAAAAAGTATAAAACATAAAATGAAATAATCCAACAAAACAATCCTGGATCAGTTKATCATAAATTTATGAAATACAAACATTTAAAAAAATAAAAGAAATGAAAAAAGTAACATCATAAAAACACCACCTTCAAAACATGAGTAGGAATTGAAATAGAGTACGTAACAATGATAAAATCACAATCACAATAATAACTCTTTAAGTATAGTTATATGTGTGTGTGTGTG